CTGAAGAAGAAGAAGAAGAAGAAGAAGAAGAAGAAGAAGAAGAAGAAGAAGAAGAAGAAGAAGAAGAAGAAGAAGGAGAAGAAGAAGGGAGCCGAGGAGGAGAGAGAGAGAGAGGGGACTGGCGATGGGAGTGAGGAGAGCAACCTCCAACTCCCAATACCTCAGGCGGCTATGGCCGCCGAAACACCCAGTCGCCGCTGCTGCTGCTCCGCTCGCTGCTGCTGCGCTAAACTGCGCTGCGCTGCTCCTCGCTGCTCCTGCACGAAACTTAGCGCCAGGGCTGTATCGCGCTGTACCATACCGCACCGGTAGAATGCCGGTGGGTCGATAGCCTCAATGAGGCTGGACCGGTACCTTTGTACCAATGGGGCAGAGGCCGGCCTCAATGCTGCGAGGCCTGGCCGTCCCCTGAACCGTCAAGATGGACGGTTCAGTCCCAACCGGCGGGCGGCAGCCTCAAGAGCGCCGCCAGGCCCAAACGGTAATGTCGTTTGGGCCTGCCCGTCGGGTCTGGTCCAAGTTAAGGCCTTTACGGCCTGTAGTACCCCCAAGGTCGGGCCTTTAGGCCCTACTGTGTCCCTCTAACCCTGAATCGGGTCCGGTAGGACCCGTGTGGCATCGAAGATGTAACACACTCCCCCTCTTAAAAGACCGAGCTACTTGCAAGGGCGGAGTTGTCTGTCCGATACCGGGATGGGTCGGGTGGGACGAGCTGCTGCCTTGTCAAGTCATGTCTTCTCATAGTTGGCGAAGATCAGGGGTGCAGAAGTCTGCAAGTCTGCACTAAAGATCCACCGAGTGTCGTCAGGCGCACATTGCTTGAATGTGACTTTGCACTGCATGGGCTTGTTGCCATACTTGCGGTGCGTGATGACTCGGTCAACTTCCCGATGTCCGTCCATAGAAGGCGGATCATGTGATCGACGTCCGGGGAACTCGTCAGCTGAAGGTGGCGTGTAGATGGCCAGCTTCGACGCGTGGAAGACCCGATGCACTGTAAGGTGCGGTGGAATGTTGATCACGAAGGAAGGACCTGTGGGGTCGTCTCCAACGGCAGAAGTGACTTCCCATGGTCCGAACCATTTCGGAAGGAGTTTGCCCGAGACGTCCTGCTTGAGCGCAAATTCCTCGGAGAGGACCCAAACAAGGTCTCTCTCGCGGAAAGGATATGGAAATCGACGTCGGTTAGCCTGCTGCTGCATGCGGATCTGACCGGCCACTTTGTCCCAACCGTCTTCGTGACATTGTTCCAACACTGCACCAATACCGTAACCCGAAGCGTCCGTAGTCACTTGGGTGGGAAGGGTGGGGTCGTATATACGGAGGGCAGGTGCGGCTTGCATCGCTACCTTCAACGTAGTGAACACGCCACGGGCTGCGTCGTCGAACTCGAAGGGCACCTTCGGGTACTGAAGTCTCGACAAAGGAGCGGCCACTTTCGAGTATGACTCGACGAATCGCTGATAATATCCAGCCAAACCCATGAAAGAGCGAACATCCGTCGTACAACGGGGTTCCGCCCAATCCACGATGGCTTGGATCTTGTCCGCTAAGGGACAAATGCCTTTCGGCGTGACAAAATGACCCAAGTACTCAAGTTCTTGCTTGGCGAACTCGCACTTGTCGCGATTTGCTTTATACTTCGCTAGTCGCAAACGATCAAAAACAACGTGAAGGTGTACGATGTGCTCGTCCAACGTCCGACTATAAACCAAGATGTCATCGAGGTAGATGAGGACGCAGCGATCGAGCAAATCGCGAAACTCAGTCGTCATCGCTGCTTGGAAAGTCGCGGGGGCATTGGTGAGGCCAAAGGGCATGACAACCCACTCAAAATGCCCGTACCGCGTCTTGAACGCAGTCTTGTACCGATCTTGAGGCTGGATTTCAATCTGGTGGTAACCCGACTTCAAGTCCAACTTCGAGAAGTACATCGCGACGCCTAACCGCTCAAGGAGATCATCAATCCGAGGGAGAGGGTCGGCGTTCTTTATGGTTTGTGCGTTAAGTTTGCGATAATCGATCCATAACCGTAGATCTTTGTTCTTCTTCCGGACGAAGAGAATAGGGGCACCGTAGGGCGAACAACTAGGGCGAATCCAACCCTTGTCGAGAAGGTCATCGAGTTGTGCGCGAAGCACCTCGAGTTCCTCTTCGCTCATGCGGTAGCTACATCCACGCGGAGGGACAGCGTCAGCCTCGAGAATGATCCCGTGAAGTATGGGCCGATCCGGAACCGTTCCGGTGGGAACCTCGAAGACGTCTCTATACGCGTCTAAGAGGTGAGAAATGCGTGGGTCCGGCGGTGACACGGCTGTCCGTCCGGCGAGGGGAGGGCATGCAAGAATACAAGGCCCATCTCCTCGACGTCATTCCGAGCTATGGCGTCGCGAATTCKCRCAACGGAAACCACGTGACAAGCAATCGAAGTGTGAGGGGTCGCAACCGTACATGGGACTAACACTCCGTTCCGATCACGGATGTGAACGGTTCGGTCATGRAATTTCACCGGATGATCGGCGCTACGCAACCAAGACATGCCTAGAATCATGTCGAACTTGGTGTCGAGGATGTCAAAAGACACCGGCTCGCACGCAAGTGGCGCAAAGTAGACCGGAACGCCGTCAACGCATCGGTCAATTGACTTTTGCGTGCGGCCGTCCGCGAGTGTAACTTGCGTAGGTTGCATCTTCCTTTGAACGTGCGGGCGAAGACCTGCGCGGGCCATAAAGGCTTGACTCATAAAGTTGTGAGACGCTCCGCAATCAATCAAGGCACTACAGGTTGCCTTTCCGATTTGAATGCGGATATAGAGCAAAGGAGCATCGGTTTCGCCGTACCTTTGGGTTGCGTACTCGCGGTCAATCTTCGCAAGATAGGAGCGGAGATCGACAACTGCTACCCCGTCGTCCGTCAACGGAGTTGGTACTGTAGTGTGCAAATAGGAGCGTAGATTTGCCATAAAGGCGTTGCAATGCGGCCTTGGCAAGGTTCCGGTCGAGGGTAGAGGCATCCAAGCGAAGTCCTCTCTCGTGAGCGGGTCAAGCTCCTCAAGTCTTGACCACGCCGTCGAGTCCTCGGAAATCAGTGGCGAGCTGACCGGATCACTTGCCGACGGTGTACAGGTTGCGCATACGCAATCTAAGTGTACGTGGCTCGGCTGGTCTAGTGGTCGTACCAGCTGGGCGGCATAATCCTCGTACGTAGCACGAGAATCAGCGGCTAACGCATGCTCCCCGGTAGTGACATCGATTGCTAGCAAGGCAACCGGGTCCGGCGGAGTGAGGAGAGACGTCGCCCCTCCCCTTGTGTAACCCAGTTTCCCGAGTTAGTTGGACGGGGTAGTGTGGCTTGCCTTTTTCGGGGCATTGTGCGGTCAAATGAGTGACGCTGTTGCACCAAAGGCAGTAGTTGTACTTTTGACGAAGGTCATAGACACCCTTGGTTATCTTGTAAGCCGTCCATGGTTGCTGCCCAGTTCCCATCGATGTCGTCTCTTGTGTCGCCTTGTTCTTCCGAACTCTCTTGGGACGCTTCGGCGGGAGCGCTGCTACAATTCCTCCATCACTCGAGGATGCTGCTGCAGCGTGGAGATCGWCTGTTTCYTCAGAAATCACGGCATTGTTGTGTGTCGGTCGTTGATAGCCCTGCTTAGCCACGTAATGCCGCTAGGGCTGCCGTTCGTTTGCGGCCTTGTCATCCGTTTGGATGACCAAGTTTGCACGATCCAGAATGGCCTGGAATGAATCGTAATCGTACTCGTTGCCGAGTGCCGATCGCAGTCCTGCGCACGATCGCGAGAAGAACTTGGATCGTTGATTGGTAAAACTCAAATCGAAGCCTGGCGTGGTCACTATCTTCTGCCACTTAGTTGTCGAGTCTCGAGTTGGCATACTACCTTAAGAGCAGGTGTACACCTCGTTCATGGCTGCCTTCACGATGTTGCGAACCATGAACCGGGTGAGCCATAGCTTCTCGAACTCCTTCCACGTGATGTGCGTGTGGAGTTCGGCGATGGTGCATTTGTTGGTAGCCGCCAGATAATTCATCCATGTCTGCGCTCCTCCAATCAGTTGCAAATAGAGCGCCTTCATCATGTCGTCCGCCGGGACAGTGCGGCATGATGCTTCCGTGTGGAAACGTTGCCACCATGTCAAGGCGTCCGACTTGTTGTAGTCGTCGAACTTGCTGATGTCGAAGTCCGGTATCTTGTAAGCCTTCGTAGCGGCGTCCGGTCTCGTCTGCAGCTTGGTGGTGTCCGTCTTGATGGCGGCCACCATGCTGCTGATTGTGTCTGGCCCATTGAAAACACCTATGTCGCCGATGAGTTTGACGACATGATCGATGCGCCCATTGAGCTGCTTCGTCTCGTTTGTCGTGCAGCCTGGCGCTGCGGAGGCCTTAGCCTCGATGGTGTTGACACGTGCGGTGGTGGTGCTGAACAGCTGTTGCTGTTGTTGCTGATGTGTGGCGGTAGCGCGAACGGCAGTTGTTAAGGCTGCAGAATCATTCTGTTGAATCTGTCGCAATTGTCTGCCCTCGTGGATTTGCACCATTAACATCGTATTGTTCCACATGATCGCTCGCATCATGTTTATCATTAGGTTAGCCAAGTTGCTCCTTTCTTCCTCCGCCGGTGTCGGATCCGCCTGTGTATCCGAAGACACAAACAACATGCCTTGGAGCATTGTCGTCCACTGACTCTCATTCATAGTCAAGGACTCCATGCACATGGCGTTCCGCTTATCTCGCACCACGGCGTCAGCCTCAGCAGTCTGCTGAGTTAGGGCCGCCGCCTCATTGGCCAACTGCTCACGTTCCACCTCTGTTGCCTCCTCCTGTGCCTTTGCGGTAGCTACGGCATCTGTGAATGCCTGTACCCGCTGAAGGTAAGCTGCCAACGGCTCACCGGCCCCTTGGACCGGGCATGCGGGAAGAACTCCGGTGGTAACCGGTACTGTCATTACTGTACTTGATGTTGTTGAAGTCGTCCGCTTGCTGAGTCGCTGTTGTTGAGCCTTGGTTCTTGGAGGTACCAGGGGGCGGGTACGAACTGCAAGCCTGGCACTGCATCGTGGCAGTGCCCAGGTGTCCTGTTCCATCGACATCAGTGTGAGCTGATGCGGTACTTGAGAGGTCCCGGTGGTCACAGAGTATGGGGAGGGTAGGGAGAGTGGGAACAGGGGTAGACCAATCAAACAATACGCCTACAGTCCCCTGTCCTACTGATGGACTGTAGACACCTAATCAAAACAGAAAAAAATACTAATTTCCCGTAAACAATTCCAAAAATTCGCAATAAGAATAAGTAATAACGAAAAATTTAATCAATACCGCAATATTGGCAATAATAATAATCAAGCAAAACAATATTTGCAATAATGATAATGATCGAATTGAAATTGTTATTAAGAATAGGTATCTGTTGAGATCAATACTGGTCCGGGAGTTCACCGTAAATTAGTGAACTACCCGGAAGTTGCAATGTGAGGGTCACATTCGGATTAAGTTGCCAAAAAAAAAAATCGAAAAAATTCCGAAGAAAAAACACTCGAATTTTCAAAAACATGAAATTTTGGGAATTCCCACCGTCAAAATCCGATTTTTTAAGGCCAGATCCGTTTTTCAAAATTTCTCCAACAAGGGGAAAGAAAGAAAAAATTGCGGAAATTTCGGTCCCAACCTTAATTTTCCGCGTTTCGGCGAAATTTCCGGATTTACGGTACCAAAACGTTCGAAATTCTCAAGTTGATTGAAAACCAAAATTTCGTAACCCTAACTTTCCAACACTGAAGGAAAACGGAAATACCAATAGAAAAACGAAATGAAGGGTCTACAACAGAATGCTGAAATCAAAACGAAATGCTGAATAGGAAATCAGAATGCCGAATTTCAGCGGATACTGATTCAACCCTAATAACGTTTAACATACATTAGAAATCCGAACCTAACAGATTGTCGGATTAGTATCCATTAATCGGAACCTAAATAAACAGCATACCGAAGGAAAACAGAAATCCGAATTATAAGTCGGAATACCAAATTGAAAACGGAAATGCCGAAATACCTCGAATACCGAACAAACGAAAAAAAATTGCAACTTTGAACTTGATAGTAATACAGCGCTGATTAGAAAGGTCGAAGACCCAACCTATACCTAATCAGACTTACCTGGTGAGCAGATCCGTAATATGGTCTGCTCCGATACCAAAACTGTTACATACTTCAATGAGTATGGGCAGAACCAAAGATCAACCAATGTAGGATGAGCATATATGCAGCGGAAGTCTGATAAACGGACTGACTCA